CGCCTCTCGTGTCCTCAAAGGGTGCAAGTGTCGATCATTTGAGGAGCACACTACCATTAGCACATATGCTGTCCAACCAGCTTTCATCCTAGGAGCCCTATGTGAATACTAACCTTTCAACAACTTCAGCTTGTCCTACTACGTGCAGCTTGCTATCAAGTCTAGCAAAGTCTCTTAATTCTCGGACTGCCTATCCCAACCTCTGCATGGGCCTCTTGTCTATTTCTAGTATAGTCTCAGCCTCTGTTTTGCACAGCCAGCCATGTCTTGCTATTCTGTGAGACGCGGTGACATGCTGGGGTCGGCATTCACTTGTTCCGTTAATAAATCACTGAATATTGTGTCAGGGTAAGGTCAAAGACCATATGCAATCAGCGTATCTTTCTTCAACAACCCATCAGCACAATGGCGAATCTCGTCAGCGGGATCTGTGGCTAAACTTAGTTGCTGACGATAGATCCAGCGCCAATTGTCTTTGTGTTCTTTGGTGGCTGAACTACCTTAGCAATTACTAAGATACTAAGGTATGGAAACTGCACAGATAACCAACCTGTAGCTTTTGATAAACTTGCTCACTCATAAACTTGCTCTCCTTTGCGTTCCTGGGTGACTCTGTAAATGATTTCTCACTTGTCTCTTTGGAGTATTTATTCGTGTTGCCAAAGAAGCAGTCTCATCTGTTCAGTTCTTCGTTGGGAACTACTTACTCCTACTGTAGGAAGGTATTGATAATGATGGAACACAATGGGGCAGCAAAACAGCCAAATCTGACATGGATGTCACAAAAATATGACAGATTGCATTGTGAAACATGATGAGCGATATCATCAATAAGCAAGCCCAAACATTTACTTCTTCCATCATCGAGAGGATTGTGAGGTGAGGGTACAGGGTAGACGTGTTTGCAAGAATATCTCCCGTGAGTTTGACCCCACATCCGATGCCCCGCGTCCGCCACATGCTGCCTGCTCTAGCCTCACATCGAACTGCATGTAGGTAGCTCCAAACCCCATCTCAAGCTGTAACTCCATCTTACTTTCTTTGACGACTTGCGATCGTCAATTCCGCAAAATCTTCGTCCGACCGTAACAATAACTAAAAAGCTGCAAGGAACCAAAGGCAGCACTGGTCCTTACAGCCATCCCATCCACTTCGCACCGCATCGTGACGTACTTAGCTTGTTACATCCATCAAACCACCCCCACGAGGCTGTAGCCTCAATCACGACTCATCATGGAACAGACAAAGGCTCTTAACGCGCTAGAGGTATTAAACACAGCGAGAATGTTTAATTGAAAGACTGACAATCGATTGCAGCCCTTCCTCGCTTTATCCAAGTCAGCGACCTCTCCTCGCGCCGCCGCCGACCTCGTCACCAGAGCTACATCAGCTCCCAACACATTTCTCTTCAGCGAGCTCCTCCAAACACCTGCCATCCAGAACCTTGCCGAGTCCGAATTCGCTTCGCACCTCACCCTACTCAAGACCTTTGCCTATGGAACATACTCTTCTTACAAAAGCACACCGGGCCTGCCAGAGCTTGTAGAAGCACAAGCCATTAAGCTACGCCAGCTCTCACTACTTTCTCTGGCTAGCGACCGACAGAACCTTTCGTATAAGGCGCTACAGGACTCATTGGACCTTCCAGGTTCCCGTGAGGTTGAGAATTTGGTGATCTCGGCGGTCTACGCTGGTCTGCTCCATGCTACGCTTGACGCAGCTCGCGCTACCGTGCAAGTATCAAGTGTCGCGCCCCTACGTGATCTCGCTCCTGGAGCGATACCTGGCATGGCCGCTGCTCTCAAGACATGGTATGGTCGCTGTACCACCACCCTCAGCGATGTCGAACTTCAGATCAAGGAGATCCGAACGACAGCAGCCGCAAGACAACGCGAGCAACGCGCTGCCGACGAAAGGCTACAACAGGCGATGCAGGACCACCAAGAAGGAACTGGAGGACGGAAGTACGACTTACCAAACATGAGCCGGGATACGATGGCCAGAAGGGGCTTCAACAAGAGGTCTGTAATGGACGTGGGCAACTTGGTGGACAACGACAGCATGGACGTGGATGAGTCAGAGGAGGAAAAGAAACGGGCGAGCAAGCGCAAGCTGTGAGAACCCCATGCACCACCCAAGTCCTGGGACTTGATCACCGGAACTCATAAGTATCTATCACGAAGAACCATGACATAATAGATGACACGACGCCTTTTATTAGCCCCTGGAATCCCTAAATAATGCCACGGACTCCTAGCCCTGCGGCAGCCCTATTGACCTGATTTGGTCTGAAATGAGAAAAGAAAAAACGCACGGCTAGAAACGAAAATGACCAGTGGTCTGGACCGGGAATAGCTAAACTACAAATAACCCTTGATGAATAAACAGTAGATTTCCGTACGCCGATCCTCCAGAAAGCAACGCCCGTGCTCAATCGAGACTGGACTAAATCGCCGCCTAATCAAAGGCTCCCTAATCATTACAGTCGTGAATATTGATATTATGTCCAAATTAAATCCCGCGGAGATGCCTTCTTGTAAGAGTGAAATCTGAAAGGCTTGGTAATGGCCGGCATTATTGACCGCGATGTCTGTGCGAAGACGAATGATGCTCAAAGACGCTTTCCGGGGACGAGAATGAAGAGAACACAGAGAGCGGCATCGACGAGAAAAGTCACCGCCATGACCATCATGGCACGCTTAGCGATGAGCTTGCGGACGTAGGGCTCACGGATGCGAGAAAAGTTGAATGGGGTGTACTCGCTGTAACCAATCAGGGCCATGATAGGATCCAGTGAGTATTGGTAAGACGCAAGGAAATAAACACCAATAGTGAATGGCAAGATGAGCTATTCGAGTTAGTGCGCGCTCAAGGGCATAGCAGGATAAGGTACTCACCCAGCATCTGGTTGTTCGGGAATAGTCAAGGAAAATGAGAACAAATGAGGCCCAAAGAGCGGCAAACATGGAGATGAGTCCAAGAATGAGTCGCATGATGAGAGTAGGTGGGATGAGATTGCCAAGAGCCTTCATTCGAAGAAAACCTGGGAAGGCATCTCGCTCCATGGCCTGGAAAACATAATCCTTGGCAACATCAAACACTTCAGGATCGTCACGGCCATACTCTTCAATGGCGGCAGTGACCTCTTGGGTGATGGAACCAGGGAGGGTGATTTCTCGCTCGGCACCAGGTAGAAGGAAAGTGTAGAGAATCTTCTCCGCCGAGGCTCGGATATCCTGTCGCGCAACAGTGTGAGCGGGCGAGTTGGATTCGGTGGTGATATCGTGGGAGTTGCTGAACTGGGGGCTAGGTCGCATAGGCCCGGTAGCACTCTGAGGTGAATCGTGGCTTTGGTCCTCTCTAAGGAAAGCTGACATCTGGGCATCCTGGTTCTTCTCCTTCTCAGTTGCGTACATAGAGGGGCCGGCAGCTCTGGGTTCCAAGTCGCCGATGTTTTCTAAAATAGCGGAAGATCGTTTGGACTGTGCCTCAGGAGTGCCAATAAGCACGGATCGTCGCAGTTCGCGAACATAATGTCGGCATAGTGACATGTGCTGGGCGACATCGAGCCTAGTGATGTCAGACAAAATGTACATGAAACATATCTCGAAACAAACCTACCAAAAATCAAGGTAATCAACAGATCGCTGTTGATCGCGCATGTAAATGTAGAATGAGAAGAGGTCAACAGGAGGCAGAGTGCGACGACTCAAGACCTCAAAGAGCGTGGGCAGTCGATTTCTCGTCATGTCGGGTTGAGGCGACGGCGATGCCATCGGGTTTACAGGTTCGTGTTCGGCCATGTCGGGCGACGTCTTATGGTTGTGTTGAGGCTGGGAGGAAACGTTAAATGAATGAGGCGTTCAGTTTGGCGCGCAGATGAACCACTGAAAGGTCGTATACGCGAAATTCCCCTGATTATGCCGACGACAAGCCGCTGTATTTCGGAGAAGCAACCGCAGGACTGACTGTCCTGAGAAAAGCGATCCCGAAAAGAGTGAGAGAGAAGCGCTTCAAGTGCAAAGAACGTGAGGTATGCGGTGCCCTGAAATGGATTGTCCGAGTGTGGAATGATGAAGTCGTTAAGCAGTACTAACTTAACGGCCAAGATTGGATGGGTCCAACACAATGCATTCGCGATAAACAGCCGCAGCAGGCTTGACGTGGACCATGCGAACAAATGCCCCTAGGCCAAGTTGCGTTACGCCGGAATTGCGACGGTCACGTGTAGGTCACGTGTGGGGCTCTCAAACCTTCAAGATAAATTTACCTACTATAATACAGGGATAGTACTTGTAACGGGGTAGTCTCGAGAGGGTCTCGAGACCTGTTATAAACCGTTGTGAAGGGCATTGCTGACACAATGTGTCAGTATTGATTGATCTTTTGGTCTATTGGTATAGGGCACCCTTCCCCTCGTGACAGTACTTAGCTATAGTTTGACTGAATAACACAACAACAAGACAAAACAACAGTACCTGCCCAAGACACAACACCAGAGACTTCTCCAATTAGGTCCTAGAGACAGCTACTAAAAACCCTCCGATTGAAGTAAAAGTAATATCAACATATGCGCATTCAAATGATCAATTAGATAACGTCTTCCACATCATAATACGTCCAATTTGAATAGGCGAAAAGGCATGATAAATTGAAAGCTATCTACCTTTGCGTCCGTTTTATCTTCTAGGATTATCCACTTCACGTGACCCCTCCATCTAGCTAGCCTCGCGACTGTAGCCTCGTCACTAATATAACCTCTGCTACCGTTATAATAGTATATTTAAATATTAAATTTTAAAATAAAAGGTAATAGTTAATAGATATTAAAAGAAGTAAATATCTCTTTATTAATTATAAATAAAGTTACTATACTTATTAAAGTAAATAGACTTTATTAGTCTGCGTACTTATCTTACCTATTATTAACATTTATCTAGGTGCAGTTTACAATAGGAAATATCTCTCTTCTCTATGCGTCTCTAAGAACCAAAAAAAGATGGCCTCGCTCGGATTCGAACCGAGGACCTTTTCCAGTAGTTTGTCGCCGCCGCCGCCGCCAATGTTGGCGTGTCGCCGCCGCCAGAGTTTGTGTCGCCGCCGCCGCCAGAACTGAAAGGAAACGCTCTACCGCTGAGCCACGAGGCCTTTTTTTTTTTTGTTGAAAGCTATGCTGACATTTACGACTTATATACCTTAGGCAATGCGCAACTATCTGGTAATTGGCAGGCCGGGCGATGTTTATTTTCCTGCCAGCTGACACTGCACTGCACTGCACTGACACTGCCTTGCCCCTGAGCCAGAACTTTCCCTTACTCTATAGCTATCGAGGTAGAATTAATAGCCGTATCTTTGAAGTTATATCCAAGATGTTGATTGACCGTGTTGCGACCCTGATGGTAGTTGTGGGCCAGTGGTTTAGAGGGAGCTACTGCCTAATCTGAAGTGCAACCGACCCCTTTTCCAGCAAGAGTCAACTCCATGCACTTTAGATCGGAATTGATTCAAAAACCAAGTCGTCAAGTCTCTGCCAGTGTTTTTATTTCTTTATACTGGAATTACACTAACTAATTGGTGCTTTGATTGTATCTTGGCATGATGGGAACACTCCAGGGAAGGAGGACTGTCACTCCTCTACCTCTATTGAGCGTGAGGTACAGCTTCATAATGTAGCAATACAACAGAAACTCCAAATCTCAGTGTTATTGAATTGCTAGATTTCCATTGCATTCAGAAATGTCCCGGTTGCTAACAGAGGCTGCTCAGCTGGAATGCACAAGGGTGACACTCAGTATTTACAGGCTAACTACATACTGAACAACATAAACTGTATACATCAATTAAATAATTATCTACTAGCAATATTTACTGTAATATGTATTCAATTATTACTTATGTTGAAATTGAACGTAAGGTTGTCAGTTATCCAAAATGGCTTCAGGGGTAATCGATGCACTCCACATCACTCCGTACAAGTGTGCAAACTCGAGTTCATACTGACTTGAATAACATAAAGGGATCAAGAGAATAATGCTATTGTAATATTATGGTGGACTTATTTCTGACAAGAACTGCATCGTGAACGAATCAGACTTGTAATTTTTTGAGAGGAAAATCAATGAACTCTAATACAACTATCGACATAATTTGTCCAGGTTGAGTAGAATTATCGTGCTACGGGGATTCTATCTATAGCAAAGACTCGGGGGCGTAGGAGGTAGCATATACCAGACAGATAGAAGGTCAGGACACAAGGGGCTCGGAAGACAATGATGAAAACGGGCAAAACGAGAGCTCAATAGCGACTCGAGTTGAAAGGATTAATTGTTGTGAATTTTGATGTAGAGGACCGGTTGAGAAATTGCTTGCGTTAGGGCGGGACTGGTTTTGCCTGCTATAAACTGGAAAGGAGCTGGTTGCCGTGTAAGTTGGGAAGGAGTTGGGAAGGAGCTGGGAAGGAGCTGGGTCTGGTAGATATGCCTAGGATTTGGTTCTACCAGATTCATTAAACAATAAGAAACAGATTGTTTTTTTTTCTTTTTAAAAAAATGAGTCTTTCTACATCTCGAGTCTGGGGGGGGGGGAGATTGGTGATGCCTTCGGGCTACCTTTGCACAATGCCGATGGGATGGCGGTCGGTCCATCCACTGGTGAGTATCGGTCCTTAGTCGCAGCTAAGGATGGCAGTGTCGATCGAGCTTCCAATGAGCTCTCGATGAGAAACGACGTTAGCTTAGAGACGGTCGATGATACGGACGACGATACGGTCGACGATACGGATGACGATACGGTCGACGATACGGACGACGATACGGACGACGATACGGACGACGATACGGACGACGATACGGACGACGATACGGACGACGATACGGACGACGATACGGACGACGATACGGACGACGATACGGACGACGATACGGTCGACGATACGGTCAACGATGAACCAGTCGAACAGCCGAACATTCATGCCACTGCCGAAGCATGGATTCAAGCGTTCGATAAACTAAACCCGGTTTCAGATACTGATGCTGATTTACAGAGATTCGAGGACCTTACACGCACCTTGATTACACGGCTTTGTCAAGAAGCTCGGTCTGGACGTTTTGCTGACTGGCTCAAGATTTCAGTTGACGAAAGAGAAATGTCTTTCGAGATGAAGATCGCACTAATGAATGCTAACGCTGACAAGTTAGCTGATCACATTCTTCGCCATATCCCTCGGAAGACAAAACAACTTCTTGGGAAACGAGATCTACAGCCCTTCGATCTTTTGAGCTTGCCAGAGTTCCCACCTGGCTGTCCCTATAGTATCGTCTATTTCGATATTGCTGTACAGGTTGGTATTGCTAATATCGAGAGTCAGTATTCACGACTCTCTCTAGGTAGAACAAGAAAACCCATCAAGTCTTGTTCGAGATATAACCACTTGATGAAAACAAAGGTCTACCTTGGCTCAAGTTCAAATAAAACAGGGGGATATGCACGTCTGCGGACCCATGAAAGGGAAGCAAACCGAGAGAGTGGTGAGTCAAACATGCACTATGACTTTACTCGTCAAGCAGATGTCGTTACCAATTTCCGCATCGGTGCACTTTTTCCTCCTTCATCAGCGCTCAGTGAAGATATTGACTTTCTGCTTCCTGAACTCTTGGAAGGCATTCTGATGGTCTATCTCGGAACATATCATGTGAGTTATCTCTCACCGCTGTCTGACGGCAATATATTCCATACAGCTTCTTCCTATGAACTAGTCGGAAGAATGCGCCTAAACCTGTCGGTCCCAGACTTACATAGGAGTACCTTGAACATAGCATGGCCAATCCTGCAGGCCGGTTGTTACAGAGAGTTCAAGGTAGACAGATGGCAGAGAGCAAGAATCGCTGATGCACTAGGACTCCTCAAAGCAGAAGTTCATCTCGACGAACATGATGACCAGCAGTTCATAGCTGCTTTAGAAGCTATACGGTCCAAGACACGTGTCTCATCGGCAGAACTCGAGATCCTCTTAGCAGAAGGCGGAGCCAGTAACCCAAATTACGAGCCTCCAAGTCCTAATTGCAAAGTGCACGAGCGCGCAGAGCGTGATTATAACCTTGCAAAGTGTATAGAATATGCACAGCGTGAGCGTGCAGAGCGTGCAGAACGTGAGCGTGCAGAGCTTGCAGAGCATGAGCGTGAGCTTGCAGAGCGTGAGCGTGCAGAGCTTGCAGAGCGTGAGCGTGCAGAGCGTTTAGTACGCGAAGGCCGAGATTATGCAGAGTATGCAAAGAATCAGCTTACAGAGCGTGAGCGAGAGCGTGCAGAGCTTGCACGCAACGGTCCAGGTGCCTTACAAGCAGGGCTTCAAGAGATTAACAACAAAAGGAAGCTTGACCCGAATTCTGTTGACTATAATGAGCGTCAGAAGCGTCAACGATAAAACAGACAAGAATCGTGGCTCACACTACGAACCGATCCAATGCTTGATATGCGGCATTGACAAGGATCAAAAATCCAATGCTTGATATGCGGCATTGATGGACCAACGATCCGATGCTTGATATGCGGCATCAAGGATCGTTGGTTCAGTGCTTGATATGCGGCACAACAGGGGACGAGTTTGAGAGGGGACGAGTTTGAGAGGGGACGAGTTTGAGAGGGGACGAGTTTGAGAGGGGACGAGTTTGAGAGGTGAGATGTTGTGCGTCGAGGCTTTTTCTTTTGCTCACACTTTACAGTTAGGTCTTCAACTGGCGTTTAGTCAAACCTTCCAAACCAGTCCGTACAAGATTGGCCGGCAAGTACAACGGGTACGCGTCAGTAAATCGAATAATTCGGCAACCACACTCTAAACTTTCGATTCGTTATTGTCGCCTAAGGGTTCTGCGATCAACTGCACTCGGGGAGCAACAACCAAGAGTCGATTCTGCCCTACGTTGATGTCACAATATTATCTAGCCGCCGCCGACTTGTTCTCGCAAATATTAACGGAGAATGAGGAGGCCTAGTCCTCGTTACTCGTTACTCGTTACTCTGCCGCACTTCATCTCAAGTTAACGAGATGCGAACAAACGTCCCACATCATCTTCATTGCATGATTCAACTCCACAATTACCATTCAGCGCACCCCAAGCATCGACGGAAGCATGTTGGGGCTGTGGCTGCCTTCGAAATCATAGAGATGCAGCAATCCCTTCCTATAGAACTTGACGATCGAAGCTGGGGTTACTGCTGCTAGGCTATGAGGGAACGCTGAATGCAGATGTCTCATCATATGGCGTCCCATTTCCTTCCTGGTTCAACTTGGACACCTCTGCCAGATCGACTTCACCGTTTCTAGGTCGATGGCATCAACAGTTGTTCCAGTCCTGAAGCACTACGCATAAGTACATATTAAGTACGGCGCGACCACAAAAATCTTGTACATCTCAAATCGTCTTTCGCGTGCCAGAACCTTCGAATCCGACGAGTTGCATAACCTCCCAGTCCATGTGGGCGTTACAAAGAACAGTCCAAAAATTCCGAGAACTCATCCTCGTTAACGCAACCATCTATACAAGCGGTATAAGCGCGGTTATGTGTGTGCTTCCATAGAGGTTAGCGCTTCCGGACGTCATGCGGAATCAAACCGTCGATCGGCACAACGGAACGGTCACTTTGACGGTACAATAGAACGCATAATAGAATGAGCTCCCACGATAACCAGAAGAGATTCTGCCTCATGGTCCGCGAAAAGAACGGCATATATACAGACTTTCTGGGGCACAGAACCATATCTCGAATATATTCGAACTCGCCGAAATTCATCTCATCCAGGTGAATGAGTTGGGAAACACGAACACCCGAGCAAGTACTTGATAAGGCAGCATCGGCAGATGAACGAGATGACTCGGAACACAAACACGTACTATACTACTCGATGGACAAAGACTTCTGGACATCTGCTTATACATTCAAAGGACTCGCCGCGAGCCTATAAAGAGTGACAGGCCCAGCCGAGAACAACGCCACCACATCGCATTGCCCTACCTTCATTTATCTGGTTGTCTACATATCTTGCCATTACCTGTTTTTCGACGACGGTACTACTCTCCCAGCATTCATTACTGACTTGATAGCTTCTAAACCGCCGTTGGTATTCTATACAAGGCCCTGTATCGCCCGGA